ATGGCGCGCATGCCAACACGTACAAACGATCCGAGTTGAATTAAATGCCCCTTGCCCGTGACATCGGCAGTCCACCAGCGTTGAATTCTTCAGCAAGCTGATGGGACACTTTGCAGGTGGGACATTGTTTGTATGTCGAAACCGGTGTCGTGTTTTGCTCATCTTGAAGTCTTGCGGAAGGCCGTGCGGCGGATGGCTTGAGTAATAAATACCGTAGATTTTTCTTTAAAACGTGGAGAGGCGGACACATGAAGGAGATGTCTTGTCCGCTTAATCTTTTCGATTTGATTCAAAGTCTTTGTTTTTCCTCTTCAAACTGCTGTTGAGCTACTTGGGACACGGCCCAGTAGGGGTGTACCCCGCCCTGGCGAGATGTTAACTACCTCGCCTGGTCAACGTGGGTTCGATCCAGAACCCCGACGCCTGTATTTTTGGAGTGTCCAGTGTCTCTCTCCCCGTGGTAGCGTGGATTTTTCTCCGAGGCCCTCCAGTTTTTCCCTCCACATTTAGAATCAACGTGCGTTCGGAGTATTTGGCTGCTGAAAATTTCCACGTGATTAGCCACTTTGTTGAGCTATCATTTGTGGCCAGGTCGCTGTCTTTCCGACAGACCTGTTCTTCACCTGAGGACGGCTGCTTGCATTGTGGCCGAAACGTCGTGAGAATTGTATTTTATTATGTTTTATTTTTAGCATTTTATTATTTCCCTTCCACGTGATGACTTTACCGAAAGAACCAAGAAGATGAATCCCTGCAGTCACGAAAGCTTGAAATCGAAATTTAAGAGCTACATAGCTTAGTGGGCCTTTCCTGGTAAAATAAAAAATATTTAATAGTTTTAGTTTAATCTCCCCCACCTGCCATCACCACAGAAAAATGATGAACTGTCATCGCGACTCAAGAAAGGGCCGCTCTGTGAACACTGTACATGTCCTGTAGCAGCCACGGCCATCACTAGAATCCGTCACGACGTAGAAATTGATAATCGAAGGATCAATTCAAGTATCGCACACATTAACCAATGCGTTGCGTCGCGAGCTCGAAGCTTCGACGTTCATCGCTGAATCTCAGCGTCGTTACCTCCACAACAGCCGTTATCGTTCACACGAGTCTTATTGAGTTTGCCGTGTGTTCCTGTACACCAGTGTTCCTCACACATTGTCAGAGACGGGGAAGCCACCTTCGCCGATAAGAAGTCATCAGTGTGAGGGCCGCCACACTTTTGAAACATTGGGGGGGGGGGGGGGGCTTGATAACAGCACGTTGATGGTGGTGGTGGGGGGTGGTTTTCACTTGTTGTGATTGTCGGGGGTTTCGCACATCAGGGGCCACACCAAAGGCCACCAGTGGCCCGCGGGCCTTGCAATGACGAACGCTGCTGTATATTATTGCCATTGTGCAAGTTTACTGCTGCGGTGCATCGCACTATTATACAGAAGTTCATTGCAATGGGTACGCCCCTGCTAGGAATGCGGGGTGGCACAGCGGCACAGTGGTTAGCACACTGTGCTATGAACTCGGCGACCCGGGTTCCCTGGCACGTGGCATCTAAACCCGTCCCTGAACACTCCCTTGGATTCACAAGCGTGGTGAAGTATAGTCAACAACCCCCCCCCCCATCCTTCATAACCAACACAGCATGTGGAGGGAGGGCTTCATCCAACGATGGCTTGACGTAGCGCTGTAAATAAACTCGTTTCGTATCTAAAAAGGTTTCTTTATCGTGTTGCGCCTTCTTTAAAAAAAAATGTAAAAAAGAGGGGGAGTCAAGGATAATGTCTCGGGCCGCGATGAAGGTTCCAACTTCGACAGCAATTCAGGACGGCCGCTCTGCTGTAAGAGGACGAGCTTGCGTGGCCGCTCTCTCCCCCACGTCGATGCCACGCGGTGGCGGTGGCGGCGGCGGCCCAGGGCCTCCCAACTAAGACAGGCCCACGAGTCAAATCCACAGCGCCCGTCGTCGGCTTGGGGGGGGGGGGGGGGGGGGGGGGTAAAAGTGTCGCTGTCCTTGAAAAAAAAAAACTTTGGAGAAAATGACAGCGCCGCAAAGGGGAAACACGGGAATCCGGTTTTCGCGAAAAAGCGCCGGCGCACGTGCCGCTGATCCACAAGAGCACAGCGGCTCCGGGCTGCCCTCCTCATCCCCCCTCCCACCCCGCCGCCCTCCGGGTTCGACCGTCGCTCGTCCGCGAGCACCGCGCCGGTAGGGCCGCCCCGTCACGCCTCCCTGGCGCCACCGACGGCCGCTTGCTGACGGCCCTTGCCGCCGCCACCGGCGGGGCCACCCCGCGCCACCGCCGACTCGGAGACGATGGTGGGGGCGATGAACGAGACGATGGCGGAGAGCGGCCGGGGAACCTTGGAGCCGCGGGGCATGGGGATGCGCGTTGGGCAGGGGCGGCACGTGCTCCCGTCCGTCTCCACCTGGTCATAAAGGGAGGCGGTTGTGGGGGGGGGGGGGGCGGCAGAGGACATTGCTGTTACTACAGCGTCGGCTTCGCAACGCGACTGTCGCGGGCGATGGTTGAGAAGCGCCGGCCGCGACGCGGGAGATCACCGTGGGCCACGTCGTGGGAAGAAGGCGATCTCGCGTTGCCGGGAGAGGGGAGAGCTGCATGCAAGGAGCATAAGCCATCGCACAAACTCCGGTCATCCTTGATTTAGATCCGCGCGATAAACTTCTGCGGCCTTAGGAAGCCACTGGAGCTACGCACTTTTAAATCTAGATTGAAAACACATTTCCTTAGAACTGCTTTTCGTTTTTAGTTTGTTGTCCTTCCCCCACACCTCCGATCACCACGGTTGGCTACGTACAGTGCGAAAGAAGTTCAACATACATACATGCAAGTGCATCGTCTGGAGCGGTGGATTATTATTATTATTGCAGCCAATACCGAGAACTTTTCCCCAGGACGGTGCCTGTGGAAACCAGGGCAAGTTGGCGACCCGAGGCGGTGGGGGTGTTGACGGAGCTAAATATTCTATCCGTTGCCACGAGAACAAGTAGCGAAGGTCACTGAAGCAAAAGTCACGATCGCAAATTGCCCGCGGACTCGCCCTCTGCGAGGAACGTGAGGAGATGCCGCGTCGTTTGTAGCCGCAGCCTGGCACCATGCTTAATCACAAAAACAAAACATCCCCCTCCCTTAGCTTCAACAGACTGTTGGGGCAAGTGCTGTTCGCGAGCATCCACGAAGGCCAACGTGGCGTACGAAGGGGGTGGGTGGCCAGCACCATGCCCGGCCGCCTTTGCCTCCCGAGTGGCGATGTTTACACAGCGACGCACCCCTATGGTTACCACCTTTTCGACCCAAGTATGTCACAACTGTGCAATTTGACACACCAGGTACTCATTTGAGGCCGAGTGGAACTAGGGGAGGCCCAGGACCGGTTCACTGGCATTGGCCGTGAGCGGGAATCAAACTCGGGTCACCGGGTTGGAAGCCCAGCGCGCCAATTTACCGTACTCACTCGAGAAACCGGCTCAACCACAAACTCAGAAGCTGAGAATCCTGGGTTTGAAACCGGAACCCAGGATTCTCTGGAGCCACCCGGCACCACCGCGAACAAAACCCACACAGCGAGCAGCTCCACTCACGGACGGCGTCGATGTCGGCGCGCACACGTTGCCGTCCACCGGCGCGCAGTCGGCAGCGCCGTCGCCGCAGCCCTGACCAGCCGCCCGCCGCCGGTACTGAGGCCCGACCTGCAGCTGGATCCTCGTCTCCTCCGCCGCGGTCGCCGCCACTTTAGCCGCCGCCGCCTGTCGCCGCCGCCGCGGTCGCGGTCGATGTGCCGTTAACCGGCGGCGTTGGCGGCACATCCGCCCGCCCGCCACGTGCCGAGATAGTGCGGCGCAGCGTGGCGGTGGTGGCGATGGAGATGGCGCTGGCAGCGGCGGAGACGGGCGACGTGGCGAGCGAGCGGCTCTCGAGCGACGCCACGGCAGCCACGTTGCCGCCCCCCCCGCCGCCGTCGCTGCCGCCACCTCCCTCCATGGTGCGCGCCCTCGACCGCGGTAGCGTGGCGAAGGCCGGCGGCGACACGGGCGGAGGCGATGGGGTGCCGTTGAAAATCCTCCCGGCGCAGCTGGGCACGACGGCGAGGGAGCGCGGCCTCTCGGCGTGCGGACGCCGCCCGGGCCGCTCCACCACGGCCTGCGGGCTGAGCGCTCGCCTCGGCGTCGACGGAGCGCTCACCACCTCGCGCCCCGGCGGCGCCGGCGGGTGGGGCGCCGCCCCCGCCGGGGCATGCCTCTGGACGGGCAGGGCCGGCGGGCCGCCGGCCCCCCGCGGGGAGCCTTCGCTCCGCCGGGCGGCGCCGACGCCGCGGTCCTGGGCGGTCGTCGCCGACGGGCGCTTCGGTCCGTCGGTGCCGTTCTGCGTGGCCGCGTCCGGCCGGGCAGGCCTGGCGCTGTCGCCGCCGGGGAGGCTCGCCAGCGCCGCCTGCATGTCGCGCTTCTCCAGGACGATCTGTAGTGGCCGCTCCAAGCTCGCTCGGCTCACGTCCATCACGCTCGCCACCCTCCTCATCGCGGAGTACACGGGTCCCATGCGCTTCCCATCGCCCTTGCTGCTGCTGCTGCTGCTGGAGAGGATCCTACTGGTGCTGCTGCTCATGCTGCTCATGCTGCTCCTGCTGATGATGCTACTGGTGTTGCTCCTGCCGATGATGTTACTGCTTCTGGTAGCGCTGATGCTGCTGCTGTTGCTAACGATGGTGGTGCTGCTGGCGCTGTTGCTGCTAACAGTGCTGCTTGTGCCTTTACTTTTACTGGTAGTGCTGCTGGTGCTGTTCCCGCTAACCGTGCTGCTGCTGCTCCTGATTGTGCTGTTGCTGGTGCTGTTGCTTTTATCCGCACTGTTGTTGCACTTGGCAGTGATGCTGTTGCTGCTGCTGCTAACCCCTGCTTGTACTGGTGCTGGCGCTACTGCTGTGGTTACTGGCGGAGGAGTTACCGACGGCACCACGGACACCGCCACCGACGGCCGTGCCGGTGGCGGCAGTGGCCTCGGCTTCACCTCCGCCCTGCCTGAGCCACGGCGCCGGCAGCCAGGAGCGCCCCACGCCGGGCTCCACGGACGCCATCGCCTGACGCCGGCGAGGATCGCGCCACCATTTCGGCGGCCGCCGTCATCATCATCAGCCGCCTCGTCATCCGGTCCTCTTCGGCCGCCACCGTAGCGGCCTCCGAGGCCTCCTCGGAGGGCCCCTCCGGCCCCGGCTCGGCTTCCGTCTGCGCGCAGGCGTCGGAGAGCGACGCGTGCGACACGAGCTTGCGCCCGGCCGGGCCGAGCAGCGGGCGCAGCATGGAGCGGCTGTAGTGGCGGTAGCACTCCAGCTCGCGGCCCAGGTCCTCGAGGTCGCTCTCGAGGTCACGCACGCGCGCCTCCGCCGCCTCGCAGCGCCGCCACAGCACGGGCCGCTCCTCCGGCAGGCCCGCCGGCGCCGGCCGGGCCTGCGATGCGCGGAACGTGGCCACCTCGCGCCGCAGCGACACCACCTCCTCGGCCAGCGACGCCGCGTGCTCCTCGCGGCCTTCGACCCGATCCTGCGGCGCCGGCGGCCGCTTCTTGTCCCGGCGCCGGTTGGTGGACGGCGTGTGAGGACCTCTCGCCTTCTCGTCCCACGCCGCCGCGGCCTCGCGGTTCGGCCAACCGTTGGCCAGCGGTCGCACGGGCTCGGTGCCGTCGTCGGCGCCCTCGATCGCGCCGTCGCTCCCTGCCGCCGGTGCCGGACGCGCGCTCCAGCTGCTCGCGCAGCGAGGCGGCCCGGGCCGCCGCCTCCCGGGCCTTCTCCCGCTCGACGTCGAGGCTGCCGTGCGCCGCGTCGCACTCCTCCCGTGAGCGGCGCAGGGCCTCCCCGGCCTCCGCGCGCTCGTGCATCGCCCGCCGGCGCTCCTCGATCAGCCGCCCGCTGGCCTCCGACAGCCGGTCCCGCTCGGCCGTCAGCTCCGCCGCCAGCGCCTCGACGGACGCCTCGGCCAGACGCAGCCGCTCCTGGCTCGCCCGCCGATCCTCGGCGAGCGCCGACGCCAGCGCCCTGGCGCGCGCCACCTCCCCGCGCAGCGCCGTCTCGGCGGCGCCCAGCGCCTCCCCGGACCGCTCCGCCTCCAGCAGCCGCCGCCTCAACTCAGCCACATCGGCCGCCAGGGCCCGGGCGCCGTCCTGCTCCGCGTGGAGCCGCTCGGCCAGCAGCCGGCACTCATCCCGGCTCTGCTTGAGCTCCGAAGCGCCGGTCCGCTCCAGCTCGGCGGTCCGCGCCCTCAGCCGGCGCTGCTCTTCCCGCAGCTCGGCCAGGAGGCCCCCTTCGGCCAGCAGGCGGCCGCGGAGCTCGGCGGAGCGCTCCTCCGCCTCGCGGACCTCGCCGTCCTTCCACTCCAGCTCGACGGCCCGCCGGCGCAGGCCCTCCATCTCCTGGCTGCCGCTGAGCAGGGCCTCCTCCAGCTCCGCCTTGGCGGCGCGCAGCTCGGCGCTCTCGACCGCCAGCCGCTCGACGTCGGCGCGCAGCCGCTCCTGCTCGCACGCCCGCCGCTCGGCTTCGGCCGCCAGGGCCTCGGCCTCCCGCCGGGCCCGCTCCGCCTCCCTGCCGCGCTCCTCCGCCTCCTCGGCGCTCCGGCGAGCGCCCTCGGCCTCGGCGGACGCCCTCTCGGCCTGGCTCGCGGCACGAGCCTGCTCTTCGCCTAGGCGCGCCGACAGCTCGGCGAGCCGCTCGGCCTGCTGCTCGAGGCGCGCCTCCTGGGCCTGGCGCTCGTCGACGAGCAGCAGCGAGAACGACTTGAGCTTGCGCAGCTCGTCCTGCAGGGTGGCCGCAGCCGCCTCCTGCTGCTTCTCGCGCTCAGGCGATCGACTGCCTTCTCCTGGTCCAGCAGCCGCTTCAGCCTTCGGGAGACACCCGCGACGACACAACACCGAGCGCGGAAAATGTTCACGAAAAATTAGTCATACGTCTAAGGCGCCGCTTGTAGCAAGATTCGAAAGACCGCGAGAGACAACTTATGAACATTAAACGTAAATACAGGTGTCTCCAAGTGAGATTGCAACGCTGTGGGCGTGGCAGCAGTTGCTAGGGATGACATCATCAATCCATCTGCAGCAGCCAATCAGCTGCCAGGAAGACAAGTCCATCACCACCCGATGCGCTCGGGTAAATATATTTATTCTTTGGTTCTTTCGGTAAAGTTACGTAGAAAGAAAATAAATTAAACAATGGAATACGACGTTACGATTGCAACACAAGCAATCATCACCAGGTAAGAATGCATAAGAAAACAAATCTAGTAAACTTAGAAATATAATGCGATACAGCACAGAGAGTCGGCTAACAAAACAGTCAACACCCTACCTGGTTGATTACGTTCTTACAAAGATTGATATATTTGAGAGAGAGACAAAACACAGACACGGAGACACATAAACAGACACACATAGGAGAGACACACACAGAGACACGTGTTTTGTCTCTCAAATTTAGCAATCTTTGGAAGCACGTAATCAACCAGGTAGGGTGTTGACTGTTGTGTTCGCTGACTCTCTGTGCTGTATTGCATTATATTTCTAAGTTTATTAGGTTTGTTTTCTCATTCATTCGTACCTGATGATGTTTGCTTGTGTTGCAATCGAAACGTCGTATCCTATTATTTCATTTATTTTCTTTCTACGCGACTTTACCGAAAGAACCAAAGAGTAATTCCTGTAGTCACGAAAGCTTCAAATTAAACATATGTGTGTTATTCATGTTTATTATGGTCTTTATTAATGTTGCTATTAATGTTGCCGTAATCAATAGACATTTTTTCTGAATATGTTGTTAATTATCGATAGATTTTTTTTCTTCCTGAGACCGCCGGTTCGAAACTAACGCGTGCGAGTGTTGTTAGCGGGGTGCCTATTGCTCAAAAATCTTCGCCGACGCGCAATGCCGAGGCGGGGGGGGGGGCCCGCCTCATTTGTCCCTTCTGCCTCCCACCGTGGTTGTGGCCACGGGCACGTGCCGCACATTAGCGGCCATGTGCAAAACGAGGGCCATCGCCGAGCTGCTTTGTTAATCATTCGCCGATTCCGAGCACACAAAAATTACATTTTTGAAAATCAAACTGACGGCGATAACGATCGAGGGCGCGCGTGCGCGTGTGACTTGGCGGCGTTAGCTGCGGAAGTGGCGGCCGGGACAGAGAAGCAAATCGTCCGTGCGTTGCCGCAACTGGAACATTTCCATCCGCCGTGGTAATGATTAACCGGTGCCACGTGGGATAAAAATCTAAAGTTTGTCCGTGTTCCGAATAATGTGGCGTGGCGCCACAAAGCTGCACGGCACTCTCGCGCGTTTTCGGGTCACGCCGCGCGTCGTTCGGCACGGTGTACCGACGTTTCGCTCCACCGTGCCGGAAGCTTGTTCAGGAACCCAAATTCAGCGGCTTGCGTTCTCCGGCCTTGATCAATCAGACACACGGGCGGCATTGTGCCTGCAGCAGATGGGCGGGCATTGTGCATTCACGAAGGTGACGGCGAGCTCCACCAAAATTCAGTCGCCGAAGAATCTCCCCGGCGCGTGGCGTGAAACGTCGGATGTCGCGCCGAACAACACGCGGGGATGTCCCGGGGAGACGCGCCGGAGAGTGCGGAGTGCCGGGGCGAGGTTCCCGATGCGCGGGATGAGCGACCGAGTCCGATTGGCCACGCTCGCAAAGTGCGCGTCGAATTGCGTACGCGAGAGTTCATTATTTGCCCTGCGTGCAAATTACGCGCAGCAGGGAGAGCAATGAACAAACCACGGATATCTCCCTTGCAAACTAGCTGGGTAACTGGCTGCTTGCTCCTTCCATCTCTCTCCAAACTCCTCCTCCCCCCCCCCCATCGTCCTCCTCCTCCTGGCCATCGTCCTCCTCCTCCTGTACCACCGCTCCTTTCTCTGTTTCCGCTGCTGGAGCCGTACCGCCCTCTTTGTCCGTCCAGGGAGCTTCCGCCCCTTTCCTGTCCTTTAAATGTGTCCGAACATTGCATCCTGGGGTCTACTCCCCTTCCCGTTGTGCGTGTCCGTCGGTCAATTTTAGCTTTTCTTAGCGGGAAAGTGCTGCCGCCTACTGTATGCGCCAGAGATCACCAGTAGGGGGTCTCTCAAAGGTCGCCACGTGGGTATCTCTGCTTCCGTGGAACCGTTGGCAAGCACGAAGGGTTGCACTGCTGCGAGATCTGAACTGATTTGTTGGTCTCATGCCGCGGTGCACAATTAGTGTAAATTAATTTGAGGAAAAAGACAAAACAAATATGCAGATAAATATGCCGGCAGATGTGGCCTACAAAGTTATGATTAAGTAACGGGGATTTCCTGCACAAACAAGCAGCAAGGCAGTGCTCATCTTCTCTTTACAGCCCTGGACCAGTGGTAAAAATTACACATCCCTATGGCGGGCACGAGTATATCCGTCCAGTGTCGGTTATATGTATTCGGTGTTCGTGACGTGCAAATTTAACAACAATTTGGTAATTTTTCAACTCCTGAATTAAACAGGAATCCTGCCTGCTAGGAGGGGTAACGCCGACGATTTGCGGTCCGGCCAGGGGTCTGTGACGGGCAAGCGATTAGGAACTACCGCTAGAGAGACGCCGGTAACGACGGTGTGACGGGCAGGAGCGATGGGCGAAACGCTCACCAGACTTGCCACCCGCCTCACGAGTGCGGGTCGCCCATGGGCGACGGTCACCCACGGGCGCCAGCGACCGGCGGAGAATCACAGGCGTCAGGGACCCACCTCTCCCGCTCGAGTTCCAGCAGGTTGGTGAAGTCGTCGCTCTGCGCCATGTATTGCCCGTGCTTGTGCCTCTCGGCCTCCAGCTGCCGCGCCGAGCGCCGCTCGCTGCTCTGCGCCAGCAGCAGCTGCCGGAGGGCGCGCGCGTGCGTCTCCCGCTGACGCGCGATCACGCGGTCCAGCTGTGGGGGGAGACGCAACGGCATTTTTACGGCCGGCAACTCAAGCGTCTCGGAAATTGATGGTCTTCAAAAAAAAAATACATACACAGTATACGATAACGCTGGTTAAGATAATTGTAAATGTTGTGGATTTGCTCTCCAACACACCGGTGTGCTGTACTCGTAACGAATTGGCCACGTTCTGTTTACGTGACAAACCTTACTAATTTGCTGTGTCGGGTGGTGGCGGGTTTAACGACACATTTATATTTACGCGATCTAACCCCAAAAAAACCCCTATATTATGAACAATCCAATACAAATAAATTTAAATATCATAAAGCTGTTAAGAGACTTACCCGATAAGCAAAACCGGCCAAGTTGATTAAAAAAGGGTTGGCCAAAACTTGTGGACGGTCAAATCGGGTCGCTAAACGGACATTTTAAGATTTCCCAGGATGGCAGCTCACCTGCCTCAACAAGAGGATGGTCCTAGGAAAACCAGGACAGGTGGCAACCCAACGTGTGGAACCTATGGGCACCCCACAGGCCGAACACAGTCGGCAACATCACTTCAAACTGCACGCGGCCTACCGCTTCATGTGGCTCGCAAACCATATTAGAAGTTGCCACTGCAAACATCTTAGCCACACCAATCAGAGTTATCATCGCTTTCCAAAAGCCCGGCATCGCATATTCTCTTATTCTAAACTCAAGTCAATTTACTTTACCAGGTAAGGCCCACTGAGCTATGTAGCTTTGGCTTGGCCTATCACAAACTCAGGTAAGGGCCACTGAGCTATATAGCTCTTTTTCAGAAGCTACCTGGGCACAAATGATAGCTCTACGAAGTGGACAAATACTCTAAACGCGTGGTGATATTGATTCTAAATGTGGAGGGAAAAACCGGAGGACCCTGATAAAAACCCACGCGACCACGGGGAGAGAGAGAGACACACGCAAACTCCAAATATATAGGCGTCAGGGTCGGGATCGAACCCATGAGCTGTATACCAGGTGAGGTGGTTAACATCTCGCCATCGTGGCATCCCATATTCACTTGGGGGTTCACGAGGAATCTTCTCTCAAACCGAAACGGACGATATCGCTGCGATGTCGTGACACGTCCCTACGCTCTGGGCCCCAGGACAGCCGTCGACCGACCGGTGATCGTCAGCGTCGCGGCCCATCGAAGTAACACGTGCCACGGGCGTCGCCGCGGTCGTGGCCCCGGGTAGGTGCCGCACATCAACAGCCACGTGCAACACGACGAGCTCTATCGCCCGGGCTGCTTTGTCACTCATTCGCCGATTCCGAGCAAAGAAGACCATCACACGACGGCAGCGGTAAATGCGGAAGTGGCAGCCGGGACGTAGAAGGAAATCGTCGGTGCGTTGCCGCAATGGGAGGAACATTTCCCCCACGGTAATGATTGACCGGTGCCACGATGGAAGCCGCGTTGGGACAAAGTCAGCTCGTGACGTCGTAGCGACGTAACAATGTCCCCGCGCTCCGGCCGGGCCTTTGGACCGTCGACCGACCCGCGGTTGTCGCGTCCCCCCGCCGCCCCCGTCGAGTCACCTCGGCCATGGGCGTCTCGTAGACGTCGTCGTCGTCGCGGTGCCGCCGGGTCTCCGGGTCTCCGTCTCCGAGCGCCGCGTCCCTCTGCAGCGAGCGCAGCGCCCCGGCGCCGGCGGCCGTGCCGTAGCGAGCCTCGAGCCGGGCCGGCGAGACGCTCTCCGCCCGCAGCAGCGCGATCACCTCGTCCCGCGCCTGTGTCACAACCGGGCGGTGAGCGGCGGTGAGCGTTAGCGAGTCGCGCACGCGTGCAAGTACGTGGAGTTTCCCTTTTGCCGATACCACTGCTGGAGCAGCGTGCCAGACAAATGCCTGATCGGTGACACCCATCACCGCCACCACCGCCACCGCCGCCGCCACTGCCACCACTCTGTCCGGATTCGACCTTCTGCGGAAACAATTGGCGGCGCTTAACCGGATCGCCACGCGCACACGCCATGAGAGATGTGGATGCCTGGTGCACGAGCGGAAAATAAAAGACTCTCTCCCCTGTGTGCATCTACGGCTATGAACAGCAAATCATCAAATACGCAACACTGCCCCAAATAGGAACTTGAAGGCGGTGGGTGTATGGGTGGGCGAGTGAATGAGTGGGTGGGTGGGTCTGTAATTCGCCAACTCTCAGATAAACCTGGCGAGCGGTATTGGTTAGCGAGCTGCGCTACGAACCCGGCGACCTGAGTTCGATTCCCGGTTCTCACGGCCAACACCAGTGATGATTATGTGAACCGGTCCTGGGCATCCCCGAGGTCGACTCAGCCTAAAATTATTACCTGGTGTGGTGTGTACACATCGCCACTATGGAGACAAAGGCGGTCGGGCGTGGTGCTCACCACCGGCCCCCTCGTGTACCGTTCCAGCCTTCGATAGGTGCTTGCTAGCAGCACTTGCCCCAACAGTCTGTTAAGGCTATCTGGGGGGCCTTTGTCTATCTGCAATTCACCAACTCTCTGATAAACCAACTGAATGTCTAAACCACTCCTCGCCACAGTTGCTCCTCAGTGGCCACGTGAACGAACGTGAGGACTACTAGACAATGACCCCCCCCCCCCCCATGCCGTGCAGGTCGCGGAAGTTGGTTGACCTCACTTTGTAGATGCTTGCCCCGAGCTCTCATACTCTGATGGTGCATTGTCCTTGAGTTGTGCGCCTTTTGGCGTCATCTGGTCCAACCCATATGAGACTAGGCTCGAAGGAAAGCTGTCTCGGGTGTGGACCAATCAACTTCAAGGACAGTGCACATTATCAGAGTTATGTTCTTTTGTTTGTATTATGACTGCAGGTATTGCGGTCTATGCAAACATGACTCCTTGCAAAAAGGTGTCAGTTTTGTTGCCAGATAGAAGGGTAAAGAACCAATTATCATATTTTTACTGGCAAATGAGGTCCCCATAGTGTAGATGCTTGCCCCGAGCTCTCATACTCTGATGGTGCATTGTCCTTGAGTTGTGCGCCTTTTGGCGTCATCTGGTCCAACCCATATGAGACTAGGCTCGAAGGAAAGCTGTCTCGGGTGTGGACCAATCAACTTCAAGGACAGTGCACATTATCAGAGTTATGTTCTTTTGTTTGTATTATGACTGCAGGTATTGCGGTCTATGCAAACATGACTCCTTGCAAAAAGGTGTCAGTTTTGTTGCCAGATAGAAGGGTAAAGAACCAATTATCTGACCTCACTTTGTCACGCTGGTCAGTGCGGGTTGGCGAGGAGGCGTCGGCCATAACTGGGCACAGCGCTGGTTGGATAACCACTCGCCACTGAATACTCGCGGCTCCGGGAATTTAACCGAGGTCCCCGGGTTCCTGGTGCAGTTGCCAGTCTGTCGTTCCAATGTCGGTCCGTGGCTTTTATGGGTATCTGTGGGAGTCTATGGATCTCTATGTGAGTGAGTGACACAGCTATTAAGAGTGTGCAGGCAGGTGCAACTGCACCGGGGCCCGCAGGCCGGAGGGGCCCAAGCGCCGAGATACACAGAGGGGGGGGGGAAGGGGGGAGTCCAATTGGACATGGGGCCATCCCTATTTCATTTGTGGCACCAGGGCCTACGCCAACCACGCTGCACCACGCTGCACCAGGGCCCACAATGCACCACCGCCCACAATGCACCACCGCCCACAATGCACCACCGCCCACAATGCACCACCGCTCAAGCCAACCACGCTGCGCCATGACCTCACCTGAATCTCCCCTTCGAGGACGCTCAGCAGCTGCAGGAGGTTGCCACTCGACGGCCTCTGCCGCGCGTTCCCGGCGTCCTCTCCCCGGGCGCGATCGCTGCCGTCGCCATCATCGTCGTCGCCGCCGCCGCTGCTGCCGCGGCGACGCCGGTGCCGCCGCCGCTGCCGCTCGCGGTGCTGGTGGTGGTCGTCCCCGCCGCGGTGCCGGTGCCGCCTGCGCACCGTGTCGGTGTGCTCGTCGGCCGCCGCCATCTCAGCCCAACGCTCGGCGAGGAAGGGGGTGGTGGCATCTCCCCCCGGCTCCGCGCCGGTGCCAGCGCCGTCGCTGCACCGCCGCCCTCCTCGTGGCACGTCCGGTGGCGTGGGGCTCGGCGACTCGTCCGATTGGCTGGAGCAGGGGTGCTGGCTGCGGCTCCCCGCGCGCTGCCGTGAGCGCGACCGGTGCTCCGATTGGACGATGTCGGAGCCGCTGCTGCTGCCGCTGCTGCTGCTGCCGGAGCGTGGCTGCGGGTGGCACAGAAGTGGACTGCTTGGTTTGCTTAGACAGGTTTCCCTCGCTCTATGCGGTGGTGGTGGTGGTGTTAGTGGCTTTTTAAAAAAGGGCGCGAGCAAAGCCATGTAGCGAGTATAGTACACAAACAATGTTGTCTCTCCGTGTGTTAGTATTTGTGTATGCATCTCTATGCATGTGTACGTATCTCTGTATGTGTAGCTGTGCGTGTGTGTGTGAGACAGCTGCCTGCCTAGTAGCGCTTACAAAACACATGCAAAGTTGTCCCACGTGCGACTGCATAGCCGCGTGCGCGCGAATTCAAAACCTCATAATGGAGCGAATTTTGGGTAGAAATAGGTTCGCCGCATGGACGGCGCGAAATCGCACAAACCGAAGCCGCGTAGAGGGAAACTTTTACAAAGAGCCGCTACTACCACACCACCGCCATCATCAGCAGCAGCAGCAGCAGCTCCGTAGCCCAGCAGGGCAGCCTCTTTCCCTCCGCCAGCCACGGGTATTTTTAGCCGTCGGTCAGCGCTTCTCCCTGCCTGCTGAAGGTGTTGCTACCCAACAACACAACCAAGCATTGGTGTCAACGGACGTTGCCGCGATGTCATTCTTGGCGCACCGGACTTGCGATCCGGAGGTCGCCGGTTCGATCTCCCGGCGCGGCAGTTGAGACGATGGGCGCCTTCAGCGAGCCCACCTCTGTCCACCCAAGCAAGCATCACCGGGTACGGCGCAGTTAGTGGACTGGCAAATCTCGCACATGCACGGTGCGTTTGCGGTAAAATGTGGGTACTCCCCACTCCTCCTCCGACATGTTTGGCCAGCGTGGAAGAGTAGGCCAAACACCCTCTGGAGGGGATCTCTAGTGCTCGTCTTGGTGCAGGCAGGAGCACGAGCAGCCAATCACAGGCCTGCACCTTCGGCAGCCTAAGCGGCCTGGTGTGAAGCCCGCTGTGTTTTAGCCGCCGGGTGATGAGCGGTGGCGGTGGTGGCGTTGGCCGGGAGATTACACGACCGGGCGAGTGTGGGATAATATTATTTTCATGTTCTATTGTTTTATTCATGCTTATAGCATCGCTATAAAGCTGTACATGAGGACCAACCCCCATATAAAGCCACTACTACCAAATGAAAGCCCTGCTACTACCAAGCCAAATTTTTTTAATTAATAAACCAATTAATAAATGACACTAAAACGAAAAGCACAAAAAACAAAGCAGTTATCGCAACAAAGAGCCGAGTCCATGAGGTCTCCTGCACATGCCAGACCACAATCACAAACTTCCCAACAAAGCCAGGACGGAGAAGGAGGAGGGGCAGCGATGGAGTGACAAAAAAAGTCACCGCTCATTCATATTAATCGGTCCAATGTCCAAAAAAGTGATGACTTGTTTTTGCGGGGTATGCCCGGATGAATAAAAAATGCCTTTCGTTCCGCGAATCTCACACGGCATTCTGATATAACCGGGGCGAGTGCCCAATTTGGTGAGATATGTACCCTGGACTCCTGGAACACACGCACACTCGCACACTCGCACACTCGCACGCATGACCTGGCACACTTACGTAACAAAGATCCCCCGTGCGGCATACACAGGCTGTTGGGACAAGTGCCGTTCGCGAGCACCTTTTGAGGCTGCCACGGTGCATGAGCGGTGTGGTGTGGGTGTCACTATGCCCGTCCGCCTTTGTCTCCCCAGTGCTCATGTTTTCAAACCGCACCAGGTACTCATATTCGTCACTGTTGTTGGTTGCGAGCGGGAATCGAACTCTCGTCCCCGGGTTCGTGCCACGGTGCGCTCACCACTACGCTACCACTCCCCCTACCGCCCCACAAAGACAAACATCCCCCATATAGCCTTAACAGACTGTTGGGGCAAGTGCTGTGAGCAAGCACCTATGAAGGCCGGCACGGCACACGAGGGGGTGGGTGGCCAGCACCACGCTTGCCCAGTGGCGACGTTTACACGTCGCACCAGGTACTAATTTCAGGCTCGGTCGACCTAGTGGAGGCCCAGAACCGATTCAGATAATCGTCACTCGTGTTGATGGCTGTGAGTGTGAATCAAACTTGGGTTCGTGCCGCAGTGCACTAACCACTACACTACCACTCCCCCCAACCAACAACCGCCATTCGCCACCAAGTGGCGGTGACGTCACCACGTCGCGTGTGCCAGGCTATGTGCACGTTAAGGCCACGTGAAGTGTCGAACGCCCGCTGGCAGGAGGTCACAGGGCAGACAGAGGTGCCATGGGTCGACTGATTGAGATGACTGGCCGATGCACCACCTGTGCCCCCTACTGTACCAACTTGTGTTTTAGCCGCCCAGCGCTCCGCTCGTTGTTGTGAGCATCGTTCCTCTGCCCTCAGTTTTTGCTGGAGGGTGACTGCCTCTAACTGCCCAGTAGCGTCCTTCACGATCCTCCTCCACAGAGGCCGATCTTGACACTGCTGGTACCAGTCAATGGTAAGTCCACTCAGCGTCATCTCTTCTCTAGCCCGTGCCATGCCCGTTTAGCCCCCTCTATCCGGCTGAACAAAAGCTGTTTAGGCATGCGGTGGCTGGGCATGCGGGCTACATGACCCAGCCAACGCAGCCTTGCCTGCCGGAGGAGCTCACCGATGGGACTTTGTTCAGATGATTCAGGGATTTGGTGAGCTCACACAATCCAGCCTAGTTAAACCCAGGATGGATCATAGGCAGGCCAGCCTAAATGTTTATTTCTGACAAAGATGTTCCATTAGGGGGGTCCACGTTTCGCAAGCATAAAGGGAGGGCATGACCATGGCCGAGAAGACCCGAAGCTTTGTGTGGAGCGACAGACCAGGTAGCTTCCACACAGCATTACGCAGCCGATGAAAAGATAATGCCGCTCGACTGATTCAAAGTGAGACCGCAGCTGTCAAACTGGAGCCGGTCATGAGCACACTGCCCAGGTATGGACAACTCTCCACTCTCTCCACAACTGCCCCATCACTAATTGGGAGTTGTGGGGGTGGAGTGTCTGATGGTACAAAATACCCAGGCAGGTGCTTAGTTTTGGTGGGGCTAATGGTAAGGCCCCACCATATAGTGGCATGCTCCAGGTTCAGCAGCAGCGCCTCCAACTCCTCCTGGGAGTGAGCAGCAATCACCAGGTCATCGGCATACATAACATGGTTGACCAAGAAGGAGCCATCCCATGACCACACCCGAGCATCGATCAGCCTCCCACCAGTACAGCCATCGAAGGCTTCATGGACTATGTCGTCGAAATAGATGTTAACTAATGTGGGAGCCAGAGGTGATCCCTGTCGCACCCCAAGGTGATCAGGGAATGGCTCCGATTCCCGGCAACATAGTTTCACCCGGGCCTACTCACCATCATGAAGGTCCTTAATGATTGTGAGCAGAGAGTTAGGGACTCTGAAAGCACGAAGAACAACCCAGAGGCCAAGCCTACTAATGGTATCATAGACCTTGACCAGGTCAATAAAGCAGAAGTGTAAGGTGTGTTGGAATTCCCTACACCTCTGCTGTAGCAGACGGACAGAAAATATGGCATCTTTGCAGGATCGCCCTTTCCTGAAACTACATTAGGGCTCCGCAAGCCTCTCTGCAGCGTGCCTGGCAAGGCAATGTTGAATAATCCTTGCCAGGACCTTTCCGGCACACCGAGGACTGAGATGTTACAGTCTGTGCGGTCCCCCTTGTTAAAGAAGGGAACCACCAAGGCATCCTTCCAATCCTGCGGAACCCGTCCAGTGGTCCAGACCACCCCAGCTACACACACATCTGTGTTCTCACACCTGTGTACACAGACGGATGTACACCTTAATGTAGTGCTTCATTTTAGTCGGAACAGTCCGGAACGCCGTTTAAAAATAAAAAAACATGGGCACGCCACATCCGTCTCTCCTTATTTTGTCCTCATTTCGTTCGTAAGAAACAGTGACATTTTGGAGTGAACTACTCTCTCAACATCGAGGCCACTTGACCGAACACAATATCAATCGGCACACGTTTGTTTTCGTTCACGAGACAGCTTGATTTGTTTGGCCGCGTCCGGTACCAGAGGGTGTACGGCAGTGCACTTCGCTTATTTTCAGAATGTGAGAATCGAAGATCGTACAAATGTATTGATCTACTGCATCGCGAGAAATTAAACAGTGATTCTCCGCGTCGTTACAGCCACAACAGCCGTCATCATTCGCACGAGTCTTATTGAGTTCGCGTGTATTCCTGTACACCAGTGTTCCTCACACATTTTCAGAGAGGTGGGGGGGGGGGGCACTTTCGCCGATATGACGTCATCAGTGTGTGAGGGCCGACACACATTTGAAACCATTGGGGGTTTGACAGCAGCACGATGATGCTGATGATGGGAGGGTGTTTTCATTTGTTGTGTGATTGTCGGCGGTTGCACGTCAGGGGCCACACTAAAGGCCACAAGGGGCCGCCAGTGGCCCGCGGGCCTTGCAAGGAGACTGGTGTACGACAACATTTGTGCTCTGTGCTTACAAGACCTGACCCAAACAAAAATTAAATGTCGATTTTTAAAATACCGACCGCGAAAATCTCCTTCGGTCAATCAGGTCTCCCCACTCATGGCATTGACAACGCAACGGTCAGTCACGCGATTGCGTAGAGAATATAAGCAACAAATAAATGAGGCGGCAATAGACCTTCCAGTTTGTTTTTGTTAAACCGATGCCGACAGATACATTAATAAATACAAAACTACACTCCCAGAAGGCCGCTTGGCCGGCGGAATGTAAATGATCAAAATAGATCCGTATTATTTATGTGTCGGGGCAGATACGGGAAGGAGGGCGTGCCGTCCAATTATTTACTTTGTTCCTACCCGTGAGACGTACGGGCATTTTTCTGTTGTGCCCTGGAGGTGGCAACCGTAGCCCACGCGGATGACGGATCAGCGTCGGCGCGACCTCAGTGGGGAGGCCGTGCCGACGACAGCGTGATAGGATCGCCGCGGGGTGAGGGGGGCCGCTCGGGGGAGC